CCTGACACCCCCACAACCTTTACCCTGCCTGACACCCCACATACCTGTCCCCTCCTGGCACCCCACACACCTGTCCCCTCCTGACACCCCACACACCTGTCCCCTCCTGACACCCCACACACCTGCCCTAACTGTAAGAGATGGAACCCGAGCCTGACAAGGCTTTCTTGGTGTCAGTACATCTAAGTACTCTCTTTGGGAATTCTTCAGAACAAGTGACAGGCGGTCTGCTTCTGGGGCTTCATCCCAACCTGCAGTCAGGTGGAAGGGGAGTACCAGTGGGTGTCCCCCATCCTGACTTGGACAGGGCAGTGTCTGTGGGAGCAGCACCAGGAGCACAGCAGAGACCCATTGCATCCAGAGCAGGAGGCTGCCTGGGCTGAGCCCCAGGGGCCACTTCTGGCTGCTTGGAGCAAAGCAGGATTTCTCCACACACAGGAGAGGAGCACGGGGCTCCTGAGCTTGGGGAGATGAGCTGTGCAGCCTGTTCGGAGACTGATTGGAGCCCTTCCAAGGGACCCCCTAGGGACTCCAGCAAGGCCACAGAAGCTGGGCAGCCCAGACCCTGTGAGGACACAGTTAAGCAAGGCAAGACTGGACCACACCGCCAGGGCCCAGCTGAATGAAGTCAGCCTCCGGGAACAAAGACGCTCTCTGGCAGGAGACACCATCCCGGGCTCCCCATGCACAGCCTGAGAAGTGAAGAAGAGTTATGTAGCCACAGAAACCCAGGGAAGAGTAAGAGGGGCAGCAGAACAAACAGGAGAGACCAGAAACAGGGACTTTCACATATGCCATCAGTGCACTAAAGAAAGTAGCAGGAAGACAGGCAAGGGACAACAGAAAAGAGCCTTCCCCAGAGAGGGGGTCCCGTGAGGCGTGGTGTGGGTCTTCCTCCACAGAAAGACACAAAACCAGCCTCAGAGGGGACAGGCCTACGTCCCAGACAGAAGCATCTCGCCTGTGCAGTGGAGGGAGCTGCCTCGGATGGCACAGCTGGGGCTCCTTACCTGGAAAGCCAGGTAAGCCTCTGACAGGAGCAGCCGTGCAGGCTGGTACAGGTTCATTTCCAGCAGAGCCTCCGCCTTGAGCAGCCACAGCTGGGGATAGGACGTTCCCTCCAGACCCCTCCCGGTCTCTCCATTTATCTTCAGAATCTGTAAGACACCACAGGACTGAACCCCACTGACGCTCCCTGGCCAAGGAGGCACAGAGGCCAGCTGAAGCCACAGGTGCACAAAGGCCATGCTCTGTGGGGCTTCTCCAGCGCCGGCCTTGGGGCGCTCGCGGTCCCCCTGTGCTCAGAGCTCAGGTCTCTGGGCGCTGCCTGTTTCTCTGACAAGTGCTGCCACTGGACCTCTGTCTCTTCTTACTTTCTCCCTCAAGCCCACCCAAATCCACCACTGGCTGGGAGGCTCCTCACCCCAGGGCCCAGGCACCTTCCTCAAGTGCTGACCCTGGTTCTGAGGAGTGCCCCGCCTGGCATTCCTCGGAGCCAGGGCTCTTGATGCAAGAGCCGCTGTTTGGGAAAGTGACTTTCCCTTTGGGCAAAGCTCTGGGATGAGCCGGATGGCCTGGGGGGAGCCGGTAGTCAGACAGCRGTCCTTGAGGGGCCAGCTGGCTGCAGGGGCTTCCCCAGGATGTACTCTGCTCCAGGGGAGTCCCTGCTCCCTGCCTGCTCTCATTTGCTGCCCGGGCCCCTGGCAGACTTGCTCCATGGTGGCCTGGGTGCACATGAACCTGGTCTTCCCTGAGGACCTGCAGGGTTCCAGGGAGGATCGTGTTCCATTAGGCCTCTGGGTTTCCACAGGAGTTCACGCAGTAAGCACTTAACTAAGTTCTGGCTCTCTGGTGCCCTCCATAGGCAGGCCAGCGGCCAGGTTACCAGCACACTGGGCTTCGCACTTGGTTACCTTGTCTTGGGCTATGAGTGGCTTCACCTCTTCTGGGTGGCTTGGAGCCTCAGGCTCAATCAGCACTGGCAGGCTTTCTTCCAGAACGGGCTCCTTGTTCTTCTCCTTTCTCAATGCGATCTCCTTCCTGCAGCTGGTGGGAGGTGAACATGTAGCAGGTGAAGTGCGGCGACCACTTTCACGGCAACAGCCACTTTCATCAGTACCCAAGATGATCGCCACGGCCACAAGAAGCTGTAGTCCACACTTTTAAAGAGACTAAAAATGTCCCTGGGATTTGGCCTCAGTCTGGCTCCCAAACTCGTGTCTTGGGCCTGTTTTCTCCACAAAACAACTAGACCTCCTGATGTAGAGGTCTAATAGCAGACCCCAGTCTCTACACACCCAAAGCAGATCTCCCGCCACCCCAGGCAGAAAGACTCGGCTCTCCGGGGCTCAGCGCCCACAGGGAGCACCTGGGCGGCCTCCTGCTACTCACTACCAGCCCCCGGCATGGCATGTCCAGAGCTGTCCTTTAGAAAATGGACTAGCCTTCGAGAGCTCAGCCCAGGCCTGCCCAGCCTCTCAGCCCACACAGGTCCCTTCCTTCGGGACCTTGGACACTCCTTTCGTCCAGGAGTCTCCTGACCACCTGTGCCTAGAATGGGGTCCCCCACCTCTGGCATCACTGAGCGGAGCACACCTYACCCTGTTCCACAGCCCCCCCTTTGTCCTGCATGAAATCATACACAGCAGGTGCTGGCCAGTGAGCCCACGGCAGAGGGGAGGGGCTGCCGCACCTAGGGCTTCCGCAGCTGAGACCTCAGAGTCAGCAGGGGACTGTGAGAGGCTGAGCCAAGACCAGCCCTGGAGACCCCCACACTTCTGGAGGCTTGGCAGCTCRCAGAGGCCAGGGAGGCCTGGTCAAACGGATCATGCAGCTCGAGAATGCAAAAGTGATGTTGGACATGGACACTTGTCACCATGGGCTGCAGAGTGAAAGGTGCGGACAGCATGATTCCCTCAAGGAAAATAGTGTGAGTTCTATATCATGGGGAAAGTGTGTTTTTATGCTGATGAAGTACATCACCAGAACCATGTATCATTGCAGGAAAAGAGCAACTCCCAAGGGATGTCTAGATCCTGGTGGGTCCAGCTGTGGGTCAGCTGACCTCTGCAGACCTCTAGAACCTGGAGTGACAGGGCTGGCACCCATGCTGGTGCTTTCCCAGGCCCTCCTGAGCGTCCACCTGACTTCTGCGTGCACACCCCTGGCTGTCCCGGTAGGTGCTGCCCACCAGGACTTCCAGGCCATGTGGCTGCCTGAAGTCCCCTGCCTGGCCCTTCTCTGTAGGGGAGCTCTGGCCCTGGCTGCACAAGCCCCCAGGAGTGAGTGCCCCACTGCCTGGGAATAGCACGCACCTGGCCTGCTCCATGTCACTGATGTACGTCTGCCCGACCACCGCCTCGTGGTGGGCAGCCGCTGCGGTCAACCTCAGGTCCCAGCACACTCGGGCAAGCCTGGGGGCAGACGGATGGGAGAAGAGACAGTCACACAGGCTGCAGTCAGTGGGGGCAGGCAGCCCTTGGGCTGAGTGAACTTTGTGATCTGGTGGATGGAGAAGATGCAGATGCTTTGGTCATGTTTTCAATCATCTTTAAAGCTAAGCAAAATTACCAGGGGAAAAACGGTCAAAGCTCAGTCGCTTGCTCACACATTATCTTCCCTGTGTCCTTTTCCACCACTGTCACCTTCTGGAGGAAGGGCAGGCACAGAGGTGCCACCGAAAGCTGTCTCTTTAAAACACTCTCCAGTGGATGTGACTGCAGCCTTTGGGAGAGTGCAGAGAGCGTCCAGGCACAGCTGTGTGCTTGGCCTCCACCCCATCGCCATGTCTGTCCTGTCCTCCCTCTCCTGCTCCTCGAGGGCACAGTGCCCCCCACCCCTAGTGTGCGCTTCCTGAGCATCACGTGGAAATCTCRTACCACCATTTTTACGTCAAGTGTCTTGACATGCCTAGATCACAAACCTCGGGATTCATTGTTTACACAAATACCCAGCCTTAGGATTCACACTTCAAAAGGTGGTTTCTGCATTGCTTTGGGCACATGTTCAGCCTGGCCACTTCAGTGTTGCCAGCTTCCCTGGAGGCACAGGAGGCAGATGCACCCACCGAAGGTGGTAGAGGTCTGCCAGGCTCTTGCTTTCCACCACTGCATCTGCGATGAGGACGCCCAGCTGCAGGACCGGGATGGTGAGCTCATGCAGAGACATCTTCTGCAGGGCCTTGACCAGGAGGTCCAGGTAGTACAGAGTGTACGTCTGCAGAAACACAGTGAGCACGGTCACAGGCGGGGAGCAGTGGCAGCCTCCCTCCTGGGGCCAAGCAGGGGCCTGGCACGCAGGGTCAGCAGGTCCTCCCTTCTCCTTCTGTCCTGTGCAGTGACCAGTCAGCATCAGCACCCGAGAGCCGCTGGAGACCTCACAGGGGCACACCCACTCCTGTGTTCAGTCATGAAATCCACGCTTTCCTCCCCTTCTTCCCACTGGACTCCACTGGTCCATCAAGACCAGGATTTCTTCATGAACACATACAACCACTTTAAAATCAGACCTAGGAAGTGGACAATGTGTTCTGTGGGTTGGAACTAAGCACTGAGTGATTATGTTTTATGACTCTGTTTATGAGAGTGGTGGAGCGAGGAAGCAGCAGGCGCTGAGGTCTGCAAGAAGGTGCCCAGGGGAAGTGGCCAGGCTCAGGGGGGCTGAGCGCTGGAGGCTCCCACCTGTCAGTCCTGCTGCTTGCCAGGCCCAGGCCGGGGGCACTGCAGCTCTGGACACACAGATGGTGCGCTGTGGAGGTGGGAGGTACCTGAGGCCTCTGTGAATTCCATAAGGGAATACCTGCAGCTCCTCCACTGGTTTTCCTTTCCATGAACAGACCCCACTAGGGCGGGAGGCAAGCCCCAGGCAGAGCAGCCTGCTGCTCACGGATGGCCAACGGTTTCCTCCCAGGACCCATCCAGTCTTCTTCCCACACCCTGGGGACACAGAGCTCACCACCAGKGTGGCACACGTGAAAGGAGGCCAGCTTGCTGCTCCCAGGGCACCTGCTGACCCACAGTGCAGACGACCACTACCACGTGGATTCTATCAGGAGGGCGGACCTGGCCACAGAGCTCTGGCTGTGGTGGGTGGGGCTGGAGGAAGGCACAGGCACCCCCAGGCCACTTGGCAACCAGGGCCCCCCCATTGTTGAGGACTCCCGCGGGCTATGGAGACCTTCTGGAAGGCTCCAAGGCACCTGGAACAGTGTTCCCGATGTGCCAGCCGTGGACTGGAACCTATACCATGTCCACCAGCGGAGAGAGGGCCAGCAGACCATGTCTGCTCACTGTGGTAGATGCTCTGTAGCAGAGGGGAGTGGCCACTGTGACCAGAAGTACAGATGGACCCAGAAAGAAGCCGGCCCAAAGGTGATGAGTCCATGACTCAGTTCCTATGAAGCCCCAAGCTGGGCAGACAAAGTGGGCTGGACTGCAGCCCAGAGGCAAGGTCCTCCTCCAGGACCTGGGAGACCACATGACCAAGATGGGCTGTGAGTGTGACCAGGAGGAGGGTGTGTGCAGGACATAATCCTGGGGTCCCTAAGGAGGCACGTGACAGGGAGAGGGGCTGTGTGGCCACGGTGTGGAGTGGGTGAGGAGGCAGGCAGGAACCTCCCCTACAGACAGGGATCTCTGTGGTTGAGGCAGCTGGTTTGTGTCTGGTGTCTGGGCACGTGTCCCTGGTGGGGTGTGGGAGGAGGGCATCCTGGTGGACGAGTGCTGTCTGGCCAGCAGGTGGACTGTCCTGGGCGAAGTCCTCCCTGCCCTCACACCTGCCTACCGGCTTTTGGATGGTGGTGGAGTTCACGGTGAAGTCACTTTGGTCCTGCTTGAACACTGCCAGCAGCTCCTCAGGGCAGGAGTAGAAAGCCCACTCTTCCGCACTGGCTGGCAAGTCTTCGAGCTGCTTGTGGGGAGCCGAGGCCTGAGACTGGAAAGGAGAGAATGCGGATTGGCTTTAAAGAATGAAGTTCAAAGCAGACACCTCTGTGGCCCCACCAGGACAAGGGCAGAGGGTGACCCTCTGCATAGCCCTGGGGGGCGTACACCTGCCGTCCCTGGTGCCCAGGGCCCACGGCGCCCTGCCTGCCCTCCGCCTCTGCAGCTTCTCTGCTGCAGGCACCTCTGACTTTCCGTGCACCAGGCAGCTTCTGACCTTACTGCCCAGGGACACCAGGGACACTTGTGGCCCTCACGGCACAGGTTCTGCCTGGGCCGCCCAGGCTCTGCAGTCCAYGGGGTTGGGCATGAGCTCACACACTTCGGGCTGGAGCCTACTGAACTTCCGGCCACATGCAACGTGTCAGGTCTGCTTTGACCCAGAGAGGAGCCAATATTTTAGGATGAAATGTCCCATGTGCCCTAGCGGCTTCCTAGGTGAGGCACTGCATTTCTCACCGGTCCCCACCTCCCTGGCCTCTGGGCTGCTGTTTATCGGGCTCATCAGGGAACAGGGTTACTGTCACCCTGGGCGAAGCATGTCACTGTCTCCATTGTCCAACACAGAGGATGTTGCAGACCCCACTGGGAGTACCGGGGAGGCTGGGAGGCTGTGGGGCCTTGCCTCTGTCCCTGGGGAGGCCATGTCTGAGAGAGAAGGCACCCTCACCTGCTTCCCGTCCTTGATCTTCTCCTTCTCCTCCTTCCCCTTCTCCTTCTCCTTGACCTTCTCCTTGATCTTCTCCTTCTCCTCCTTCCCCTTCTCCTTCTCCTTGACCTTCTCCTTGATCTTCTCCTTCTCCTCCTTCCCCTTCTCCTCCTCCTTCCCCTTCTCCTTCTCCTCCTTCCCCTTCTCCGTGACCTTCTCCTTCTCCTCCTTCCCCTTCTCCTTCTCCTTGACCTTCTCCTTCTCCTTCTCCTCCTTCTCCTTCCCCTTCTCTTTTCCTTTCTCCTTCTCTTTTTTAGACAATGACATATACGAACTGGCTGCTACTAGAATTCTATTTTCTAGAAATGATTTTCCGGCTGTCAACAAAGAAACCTGTGGAAAGACAAAATCCAAGTTGGCAGTATTAGAAGCAGGGCTGTGCCCACCCCCTGCACCAGGTGGAGGGGCCCTGGCTCTGAGGGTGCTGCTCTGCTAGGGTCAGGCTGGGGAGCCGCTGCAGAGCTGAGCCTCTGGGAGGGCTGGGCCCCCAGCGGCTATGTGACCCAGGCCTGTGAGCACACGGGTGTCCCCCAGGGGTACTTCCCCACTGTGGGTRCAGCTGGACATCCTCACACTGAGGCTTCTGTGGACAAACCTTGCCATCCCCCAGAATCTCCCTCCTGGTGGCCAGGCCTGGGCAAGGGCGATGGTGGCTTCCCCCAGGACACTCAATGGATAGGGGCTGCTGGGACAGAGGCCCATATTCCAGATAGGACTTGGGTGGCCAGCAAGGAAGGCACAGCTGGCCCTTGAGGGGCCTTTCCCCTCCACAGGTCCATAGTGCAGACGTGTGGTGATGGTGGCATCACTGGAGGCTGGGCTTGGAGAGCTGGGGATAGGTAGACTCCAAAGTCCTTCCTGGTTCCTCCACCCTGCTGGGGGCTCTAGGGTCACTGGGTCTCAGGAAACCAGCCTGTCCTGGTGGACACTGCCCACAGGGCCTGGGACAGTCACACATGGGCAGTGCCCAAGGGCTGGAGACCAGCCAGAGCTGCCTCTGGTCCCCACAGGGAGCCGTGGAGGAGAAAGGCAGAGGTGGCCCTTCATGGCTGGGGGTGGGGTCAGAAGAAGGTTCCAGAAGACACAGCTATTGACAGGAAGACTAGGCTGCTCTGTGGGTGGCCTCAGCTGGGACACTGTGGGCACAGGCCCGGCAAACGGGGCTGGGGTGGGTTTGGGGAGTAGCAGGGGCTGGCTCAGAGGGGGCCCAGGGAGCACACCAGGCCAGAACAGTGCCAGCAAGGTGTCTCTCAGGGGAGGGACATGGGTCACCAGAGCGGGGTCTGCCCTGTTCAGGACCTTTGGAGAGTCCCAGGAAGACTCCCAAGGAAGCAACAAGCATGGCCTGCACCGTGGCCCAGAAACGCAGGCCAAGCACCTGCCAGATGTGCCTGAGGAAGGTGTAGGCCGCCAGGCAGTCGTCCCGGTAGTGGGTGGAGCTGGGGGTCTCTATCAGCGCCCGCAGGATGTGCACGCGGGCCAGCGCTTCCAGCTGCTTCACATTCCATGGCTGCTCCCAGGAGACGGGCTCCTCCTGGGTCGCAGCGTCTTCTGCTGGGGTCTGAACGGAGGTGCACTCCCCTGCAAACAAGGTGCCTGGGCTGAGTGCACCTCCAGACATGGGGTGCTGTGGGCCAGGGGCCGCCCCTCTCCTGCCTCCTACTCGCTGGCTCCTGCTCAGCCACCTGCCCTCCGCCAGGCCCTCAGGTGGCGCCCCCCTGTGGAGGCTCATCAGAGCTGACTGCTCCCAGTGTCCTGGCCCTCTCACAGGCCTGGAGACCAGGAGACTCCCAACTCCCGTGCCTGGCTGGTGTCCTACAGCCCTGCGGTCTGCTGTCAGACTAGCCGAGGCAGGGCCATAGGCCAGCTGCGAGTTTTCCCTGGCTGGTGGGTGGGGGTCTGGGGCCCTGGCTAGTGCAAGTCGCAGGCAGCACAAGGTGTCTAAAACCTGGCCTGAGCCAGCCCACCCCAGGCCTGCTGCCTGGGACACAGCCTGGGGCCGAGCTGCCCTGGGCCTGGGGCTGCTCTTGCTGAAAGACACTCCCTCTGTGGAGGCCGAGGTCTGCCACCCTTCACCTCTCCCTGGAGCAGCGCTGTGCATCTCAGCTCACTGGGGAAGGATCCCTGGGCTGGACTCAGGGCTCCTTCAGGTGGCCACAGTGGYGGCTTTCCTTGCAGTCCTGACCACTTCCCTCATGGCCTGGGGTCTCTGAGAAGAACTGTCCATTCTGACAGCAGACTCAGGCCTGTGGCCACTAGGCCAGTGGCCCTGACCAGGCCAGCACCAGGGAGACTGTGGGCTGCACCTGTGTCTAGGGCCTCAGCTCTCCTTCTGCTTAGGTTGGGTCAGGGCAGGCCTGCAAAGTGACCTGGGACTCCTCATAGGGAACTGTTCCCGAGTGTCCTTGGGTCGGTGCCCGGACAGTGGGGGTTATAAGCAAGGCTCCCCGTGTCTCCCAGCCAACCTTCCCTCACCCAAGGCCCCCCTTGGCCCCCACACGCGTCACAGACAGGGCCCTGGGAGTTAGAAGAGGAAACCAGAGGCCCCGCCGGAGCTGACTGGAGGGTGGGCAGAGGAGGTGCACCTCTGCCTGTCTGTGATCCCAGAGAGACAAGGCCACCTGCCCCTCTCCTGAGCATGGTCACAGGTGGTCAGGGCCCCCCGCCCCCACAGGCCATCTCCTAGCTGACCTTCACTGGGCACAGTCTTGGTGTTTACCATGAAGTCAAGTTCCCCCAGTGAGGACTGGGCAAGGCTGACCAGGACCTGGCACCCTGAGGGGAGAGCAGGGAGGCGTGGGCAGGGAGGACAGACAGGCGTGGCGCCCTCACCTTCCAGCCCAGGCTCCCACTCAGGCTCCAGCTCGGGGTCACCCCTGGTGGGTTTCATGACCATCAGGATCTCCACTGCCCAGTTGAGGTGGAGGACCACGTCTTCGAGAGGAAACTGATGGAAGCAGAGCCACTGGCTGAACTCCAGGATGTAGTCCACCTTCTGCCACTCACTCTCCGGCTTCTTTGGGATGAGACAGAACAGCAGGCTAAAGGTGCAACACTGCTGGTCCAGCATGTGGGAAACTGGCACGGAAGAACCAGCCTGGAACGGTCACTGTGAGGACCACCTGACACTCATTCTGCTGCGGTCACCACAGAGACCTCTTCCACTGAGACTTGTGGCTCCAGAATGGACAGTAGGTGGCAGGAGAACGTGCACAGACTAAGGCCTGGCACAACACTGGGCCCATGACCTCTGCTCGATGGCAGCTGTGTGGCTGGCCCCGCAGGGCTCAGCAGCGCCCAGCCCTGAGCTCCATCTGCACACAGCTGCTCCCCCAGGGCTCCTTGCCCTCTGCCATGGCCCAGCCAACAGCATCACTCACATCTGCAGCTGTGCTGCCCGTGATCTGCATTCTCTGAGCACCCACCTGTGCCATGTGTTCATTCCACCAGGCCCGTGGGAGGGCAAGGCCAGCCAGGCACCCAGGAGTCACCCTCACGGGTGTGGAGTGTGGACACACGGGCACCTGGCTGGGGGGCCATCCACTGGGGTGCACAGCTCTCAGGATGAGGCCATGGGCACCAGGGACAGGCGTCATCAAGAGGACATGAGTGAAGGCCAGGGAGTGTGTCCAAGAGAGCACTCCAAGCAGGGGTGGGAAGAGGCTGACTGGGCAGTAGGTGGCACAGCAAGTGACAGGAGAGCACAGAGGGCAGCTGAGAAAAAAATGGAGTGGACCAGATAGAAGGACTAGGTAGGGACAATTGCTCACATGGGGTGACAATGAATTCCATGGCCAGGGTGGAAAGTGACAGTGCATCCTGGGTGTGTGTGATGGTAGAGTAACACCAGAGACCAGGGGCAGGTGTGTGTGGTCCAGCAAGTGGACAATGGGGAGGGTGCAGATGCCAGGGGCAGGTGTGTGTGGTCCTGCAGGTGTGCAGTGGGGGAGGGTCAGATGCCAGGGGCAGGTGTGTGTGGTCCTGCATGTGGAGGCTGGGAAGGGTCTGATGCCAGGGACAGGTGTGTGTGGTCCTGCAGGTGTGGGGTGGGGGAGGGTCAGATGCCAGGGGCAGGTGTGTGTGGTCCTGCAGGTGTGCGGTGGGGGAGGGTCAGATGCCAGGGGCAGGTG